ATATGCTAATAGGATTATATATAATATAATATAATATACCCAACAGGATTCCAGTCATTGAGTGCTATTTTCACAATTTCTATGATTAATTTAAACTATTTATGTTTGGTTAGAAGAGTTAACAGTTTAATTACTAATAAATTCCAAAATTATATAATCCAAAAGTTTTGATTATCCAGAAACCTAAGGAAGGAAACAGTCCACATAAATTTGATAATTATATAGGTACATACCTAAATTTTAAAGCAAATGTTCTTTGTCTACAGTAAGAAGTTTTGTTTCCTTTTTATTTAGCATTATGATTTCATTAATCCAGGCTCACTTGCCAAGCATGCTGATAAAGTTTTTTTCAAGGTCCCATAGATAAGGCAAAGGAAACTGTGCTTGTTTTTTAATGCAGCAATGACAGTATAAAGTTCTTTATTCATTAAACAATAAAACACAGAAATGGTTTGAAAGGGCTTGGTTTATTTTGAAGGTGAGGTTTGATTACCTTTCTTCTTATCTTAGGGAACAGTCAGTGGTGTGCTGCTAGTGACGCCAAATAATATAATGTTTGATCCAAATAAAATGGACCCATTGGTTCAAGAAAATGGCTGTGAAGACTATGGCATCATGTGTCCAATGGAAGAAGTGATGTCGGCTGCTATGTATAAAGATATTGTAGATGACAAATTAAAGGATTCATTACCCATGTAAGATAGATACATATGTGTAATATTTGTGTGTGTGAGTGTGTTTGTGTGTGTGTGTGTGAGAGAGAGAGAGAGGTTGAGATTATTTTAGTGCATGACAAATGTACTGATTATTGTTCTTGTACAAATTTCCTTCTGTTTTTGTCAAAAGGAAAGAGTACATAATTGTCTTTATTTTATATTTATGCAACCTTAATGAATTTTTCACCCAGTGTGGTTTGATGTCAGGTTGCTCAAATTCACTTTCCTTTGTTCAAAAGCATTTTTAAAACTCATAGTGTCCAACAGACAGAATATCTTACCAGATAACATGCCAGTCCACTTTTCGATAGGCATGTTTTTGATGCTTCTGAAGATGACTTCTAAGTAAGTAGAATAGTTGTCCCTTGGTGGTCTTGTTTGTTTGTAGAGGAATCATTAAAGTTTTTTTTTTGGATTTGTTTGTACCCATTATTAATGAAGGATAAAGCAAACTCAGTTCCGCAGGGTGAAAATCATGATTATTTCAAGACTGTAGGAAATTATTTTAAATCAGCATTCATTGTTATTCAGTTAATTCTCACATTGGCTGAAATCCTGTTCCATAAGTAATGCCATTTAATGCTGATTTCATTATCCTTAAACACTGTAACTTACAGAACTGGATTTGAGCCACTATTTGTATTTTTGCAAATTGAAACAATTGTGTCTGCACCTAACCACACTGTGTAAATTCTGAAAATGTAGCAGAAAATTAGAGGGTCGTTAGTATCTGGGGATTAAGTTTTTCTTAATGTTGTACCATGTCTGAACCACCCCAAAACATTTTGGACTGAAGGTCTCAAGTTACAATGTTATAAGATTCAATCTACAAATTTACTTTAAGCTATTAGTTACATGTGACCTTGAGAATGAGACATGGTTAGGTTCCATGTTTGATACTATAATTTTGAATTGCATGGTAGATAGTCTATATTGTACTATTTTTTCTGTTGTACAGTTTTTCCTCTTCTGCCTGCCATCAGCTACATGAGGCAAAAGTTTGCCACAGTCTACCAAGGATTATTTTAGCCTTCACTGAGGCAGATTTCCCTTTCACAGTCCCATTTTTATAGGTGATTTTTTTTACATTTATTTAGTTTATATTCTTTATCACATCCAAATGAATTTTATCTACTATCTCTATATCTGTATAGGATTAATTTTGCATTTCTTGGGGGGAAATTAAGAGTGTTAATTTGCTTAGGATAAACCATGAAGAAACTCTTTGTTTTGCCACTGATCTTCAGCACAGGAATGCTCTGATAGGGATCACATTATATCTCTTGTTACACAAGCTTTTGGTATTTATTGCTGATACCAAATCTTTGTTGATTCATCTTGAAGTCACCTTTAACTTATCTGCCATTTGATTCTTCTCTTCAGTAGCTAAGGCCACTTTCTTGTGTTATATTTATGTCTCACAGTCTGGTCCTGAGAATTCATGCAGTATTACATAATAGAATGATTACTTGGTCTGCAATTATAGAACATTTCAAGTTCTCTGAATGGATTTGGTGGCAGAACATATTCACTGCCCAAAGAAAATGTTTAGGCTGGAGGTTACCAATAGATATATTTTCTTGAAAGTATTTCAGTGGTAATAAAAATAATAAGAAAGTACAAGTCTTACCACAACATGAGACATTAATGCCCAGTAAACATTATGGATCATATTGTAAGTATTGTATGCAACCCGCATTGGGTCATTTTAAGGAGAAAAGCAGGGTAAAAATATTTTAAATAAATAAATAAGTATTGCTATCTATTCACATTTGGGAGGGCACCAGTATGGGCAAGGCTGGTTTAAATATTTTTAAACTATAATTATATATCTAGGTGAAATTAAATCCCTCAATGTATTTGCGAAGGCTTTTATGGCCGGGATCTAATTAATGGTTGTTGTGGGTTTTTCAGGCTCTTTAGCAGTGTTCTGAAGGTTGTTCTTCCTAACATTTTGCCACTGTCTGTGGCCGGCATCTTTGGAGGACAGAAGTAGCACTCACCAGAGCACAGAGTGCTACTCCTGTTCTCTAAAGATGTCGGCCACAGAGACTGGCAAAATGTTAGGAAGAACAACCTTCAGAACACAGCCAAAGAGCCTGAAAAACCCATAGCAACCATTAAATCCTTCAATACTGTACCTAGATGTAATCAAGTCCTACTCCTCCCAGTGTATAGTGAAGAAAAAAGTCCATGTATGTTTGTCAGGTTGTAACACAGAACTGTTCGTTTATTGGTTGCTTTTAGTGACTTAGATCAGTTGTCTGTAAAAGATCTCTGCCACTTCAAGAAAATTACAAGAAGCAATACTGATGAAATGGACTCACGGGTGCGAGATACAGGGAATGATAGTGCCAGCACTGCTCCAAGGAGCACCGAGGAATCTCTTTCAGAAGATGTGTTTACTGAATCAGAACTCTCTCCAATACGGGAGGAGCTTGTTTCTTCTGATGAACTTCGACAAGATAAATCTTCTGGAGCCTCACTGGAATCTGTTCAGACAGTACACCAGAGTAGTATGGAACATGTAACGTTAATTACAGACTCTGTTAATGTTGCTGGTGGCATAAACCCCACTATAGAACAGCCTTTGGATGATAAGAAGTCTTTTAGTGATACTGTGGGTTCACTTTCATTGGACACAACTCTGGGAGAAATAAAGGACACTGTACAAGGAGGTGCTACTGATGGTACAGATTTAAAAGTTAATACTGCTCAGGAATCTGTGATAGAAAATGTACCAGAAGGTGAGGAGTGTTTGCATTCTGAAAAAGATGATTTCAAATGGGAGGTTACAGATAAAGATTCCACTCAAGATTCTGAGACAGATATTGAGACAATGCGTAAACTTTGGAAGAGCCATACTATGCAACAAACCAAACAACAGAGAGATAATATGCACCAGGATGCACATAAAGAAATGAAGCACAAAGTGGCAACAGCGGATGGAACAATAGAAGGTAAGAGATGAGTGTGAACAAACTACAAATTCACTTTTCCCCCCAGTTTTATTAAGCTTAGTCTGCTGTATTTGTCGATATGTTCCATGGAAGCTTACATCAAAATATACCAGTTAGTCTTTAAGGTGCCACAACATCTTCTATTTTGTTTTGTGTTTCTTATTGAAATTAATCTTAAATATGCTATTCATCTTGAGAGAAAGCAATAGATAACCTCAGAGTAATTTATTGGAAATGTTTCTAATGCTACATTATAAAGAAGTTAGGGAAAGTAGGAATGAGAAAGATAACACTGGGAAATGTCTAGATATCAATCTATTTGAAAGACTAATGAGATGCAAGAATAGAATGTTAGAACAATTTTGGTTTAGACAAGATTTAATGTTGGCAAAATAAACAGAAAATAATAATGACCACTTTGAACTGAAGATACTTGAATGATTTTAAATATAGAATGGTACTTCTAGAAATAAATTAGGAAAATAAACAAAAACAAATGTTAGAAATACAGAAGAATGTAGGGCATAAGGCATAGATTTCATATGAAAAGACCCCTGTAGAATTACAAGGATTTTAGATTTGGCTGACTATGACATATATCAATAATTATTTTTTCCAAACAGATAGTTTCATTGACACTGGTCTGTATTTGTCAGATTTTAAGAGAAGTGAGTGAGAAGTGAATCCCAAGGATCACACCACAGAATTCATTAAATATTCAAAACGAAAAAAATCGAGAGTCAGTGTACTGAATTCAGTGAAAAGGATTTATCACTGTACTTATACCAACATAAATAACCAATAGGATTCTGAATTACCACTGTTGCTTGAAGCTCTGGGCTTTCGGTTTCTGTAATTATGCGATACAAAGAGACACAGGCTGGGTGCAGCTGTGCTGACGGGTGAAGCTGAGCTAAGCAAGGCAGAGGGATTGGTCAAGGCAAGAGATGTGATATAGGAAATGAGGATGTCAGCAGTTTCATCTGGAGATATAAAAGAGAACCTATCTCGGAATATTTTGAAGTTCCTTCCCAGGACTGGAAAAAGAAAAAAGAAAACATGTCAATTATTATCCTTTTTTAAAAAAGAACACAAACTGTAGCCTCCTGCTGTGTTAAATAATAACTTCATATGTTTTAATGGTCAAATGTGTTCCATTATAGAAGAAATATGAAGAATTTTATTATTTATTTATTTAAAATATTTTTATCCCACTTTTCTCCTTAAAAAGAACCCAAGGCAGCTTACATCATTAAAAAGGCAATATTTAAAAGCTAAGAACAATACATATACAAATATTAAAAAACAATTAAATGTGTATTACATTAAAAACAGTAATAAAATCAATACTAAAACACATTTTAAAAAATAGAGCACAACAATCCATTTAAAAAATCCTCTCGGGCCACCAGTTATTAATGAAAAGCCTGCCTAAAAAGAAACATCTTTGCCTGCTTGTGAAAGGACAGCAATGATGGGGCCAGCCTAGCTTCCCTTGATAAGGAGTTCCAGAGTGTAGGAACAGCAGCAGAAAAGGCCCTCTCCCATGTCCCAACCAAGCGCAGCTGAGAGATAGGTGCGACCAAGAGAAAAACCTCTCCTGATTATCTTAAAGCCTAAGCACACTCATAGAGGGAGATGCGGTCTTTTAGATAGCTTGCCTCCAACTTTTTCATTATTTCACTAGCACAATCAATTTAATATATCAAAATGTTACTCATGTGAACTCAAGCATTATACTGTGCAATTTATTCAGACCTAATTGTTTTTCCTATAGTATATACATATGCATGCCATGTTCCCTGTAAGCTGGGCGCACACGCATGTCTCTGCCTCCCTCCGCATAGCTGTCTTCCCCCTCCATGCAGTAATCGTGTTAGGTTCTGGTTGCAACAGAACCCTGTACAGGGGTTGTGGGAGCAGGAGCAAAGTCATGAGAGGGAGGCAGAGCCCTGCCCAGCGGAGCTTGAAAGTTAGAGGGTACGTTATATGCGTGCATTACAGTTCTATGCAATTTATCAAGAACTATGTCCCACTTTAATCAGTGACTCTATACTAAGTGTACAAAGATTTTAATTTTAATAAATGTTAAGTCATGGCATTTAATGAACTGTCAGTTGGTAAGAGTCTCAGCGTTGATATTAAAAAGTCCAAGTTTAAATTACTTGCCAACTGTGAAAGTCATACAGTGTATGTTGCTGTTCTTCGGTTTATCTTAATCACCAGTATCGCTGATAGGATTTTTTTTTTAAAAATGGTCCAGTGTACTGTGTGCCCTTTGACTGATACAGGTTAAACGTAGGATTAACTGTTGTAACTTTTGTTGAATCACTAGTGTGTAAGAGAGTGAGCAAGAGTCAAAGAAAATGAACTGCAGAGTACTTTTAAAATGCAGCGTGAGATGAAACTTTATGCTGGCTATATGCCAGAGTATAATATCAGTGAGATACAGTACAGTGCAATTATTGTAATGTTCATATTGTGTGGCTTATATTGACTCAGTTAAGATGGAAATTTGGCATGTGTATATATATTTTATCTCAGCTGTCTTTCTCTGGATCCTTGTCCTATAGTTTCTTTTTTCCAAAATGGCCACCTTTAGATCATGTGTAGAATGTCCTGGTAAATGTGAAACAGGTTTCTGTTTGTATCTAATTTTTTTTTCAAATAAAGCAGGAGTAATACTTAGTTGATAAAAACTGCCAAACAAGTCTTGTGTTTATTATCTTCTTTAATTAATGAAAGGTTCTCTAACAAAAGACAAAAGAAGACATCGGTTACACAAATTCTTGTGTCTCAGAGTTGGCAAGCCAATGAGAAAAACATTTGTATCACAGGCAAGTGCATCAATGCAGCAGTATGCACAGAGGGACAAGAAACATGAGTACTGGTTTGCTGTGCCTCAGGAAAGGTAAGATGGACCATATTTTTCTATAAAAGTGATCATAGAGAAGTACTTTTATTTTCCACTTTTAAATTACCGCGTTCATTCAATATTCCAAACTACATTTCCCCACTAATTTCTGTAAGATATGAGCTGCAGTAGAACATTTTGTTTTACTGTATATTAACCAGCTGAGTCTCCAACTTGATTGTAATTGACAGTGAGTTATATCATGTTGGAAAGTTTCACAATAACTTATTCTGGATTCAGGAATAATTCTGTTTGGTTTGTTGTTAGCCGCCTAGAGTGGTCCTAACAAGACTAGATAGGCGGGATATAAATTAAATAAATAAATAAATAAATATTGATCAATGCAGTGAACCTAAGTGGAATATATGAACTTTTGGTAGGAAAAGCAGCCCTGAGTCCCTTATTGAATAGTCATTGGCATAATTCAGGATATCATGCACACAAGTTTCGATCTTTATAAATTAACCAGGGTAGTTCACATAATCTGTTACTGCCAGAATTGAACACAGTTTTCATACTTCTTCCATTTCTGTTTTATAGTGAGTCATTATTAGTCTTGATGCCCAAAATAGCAAACTGTGACTCTTGGTCATTCAATACTTCAATTGCTAATGAAGGTTTAAAGGGAGTATTTAGTCGTCATTTTGGACGGTAAATACAAAATAGTTTGTCAATTCTGACATCAGTTAAGACATTTAAAATTTATTTCTAAAGGACATAGAATTTTCGCCATATGTACAGGCCTCGAAAGAAAAACCTTTTTCCAAAAGAAATTGTCCATTGTAAAGAAAAGGAAATCCAATTATTCTTGTTTATACTAGATAGGAAACTGATGACCTCCTCTGAAAGGAGAGAGTGGAGGAGAAAAGCATCTGCTTTATTTCCCTTCTTCTTTCTGCAGAATTATTTGGAACAGACCAGTGTTTGTCAGTACCTAAAGTACTGAGGTCTGAATGGACTGTGATGATCCAGAAGTAAAGATAATAGGGTCATAGTGGGTAGCTCAGTGAAATACAGTGGTGCCCCGCATAGCGAGGTTAATCCGTTCCGGATTAACCTTCGCTATGGGAAAACATCGTTAAGCGGAACGGGAAACCCATTGGCCCCAAATGGGCCCAAAACTCACTGTTCTCCAATGTTTTCCCATGTTCCGGTGGCCATTTTGGGTGTCCCGGCGGCCATTTTGGGTGTCCAGTGGCCATTTTGGAACCGCCAAACAGCTGTTCCCCCATTGTAATGCGAGCATGCCCTCGCATTAGCGATGGGGAAATCTCCACTGTAGTTGTCCAGTATTGTTCAACGATGCGCTCATTATGCGAGGCACCACTGTAGTTGTCCAGTGTGCAATGGTGGCCCAATTCTATGCAAAAGGTTTGTATGAAAGAGGTTGAAAATAAATTACATAGAAAAGACAGTAATGCTGGGAAAGGTTGAAGGCAGCAGTAAAAGAGACATACAGTGGTGCCTCGATTTCCGGAATTAATCCATATTGGCGTGGTGGTTGAGGCGGCTTCCCAGGCTTCCAAAGCACTGGCACCCGGCGCGGCGTTGGGAGTGGCTTTGGAAGCCCAGGAAGCTGGTCTTCTAAAGCAGTCCCTGCGGGGAAGGGAGGCAGAGGACAGCGGGGACGGCTTTGGAAGCCCTTCCCCGTGGGCACAGGTTTGGAAGTCCGGCTTCCCAGGCTTCCAAAGCCATCCCCACTACTATCTGCCTCCCATCCCCGCTGCCTCATAGCGGGGAATGGGAGGCAGAGGGCAGTGGGGGCCGCTTTGAATTTCCCGCCCTTTCCCCCTGCCTTTCGTAGGTTGAAGCTCTGGCTGCAAATAGAAGCAAAATTTTGCAGCCAGAGCTTTTCGTACCTCAAAATTTTCACAACTAGGAACGTTTGCAAGTCGAGGCACCACTGTGTCAAATATAAGATGGATTGACTCCCTAAAGGAAGCACAGGCTTGAGCCTGCTAGAGCTGAGCAGGGCAGTTGAGGACAGGATATTTTGGTGATTACTAATTCGTAAGGTCACCATAAGTCAAAGGCAATATGAAGGGACATCACAACAACATAATAGAGCTATACATCTACACTATACCATATACTGTCAGATGAAATAAAAGATAATTATTAAGAGCTGTAAGACCTGTAGAAAAAGGTAATCAAATTGATCAGGCTGCCAAAGGATCTTTTGTTAAAAAAAAAACTTTCACATTGGATGCATAATTGTTTAGTAGAAAAGTTGAGCAAGAAAGACCTGATGAGGTTTATAACGTAATACATGGTGTGAGGACAGTGAGTTGAGACTGAAAGGAATTTACTGTCAGGACAAATGGAAATGTGCTTCATTCAGGACACAGTTAAACTGCATTACAGTGGGGTCTCGACCTACGAACGGTCCGACTTGTGTACTTTTCGACGTACGTGCAGCTCCAGCCGCAAAATTTCGGATCGACTTGCGGCCAGAGCTTCGACGTACGGACTGAAAAGGCAGGGGAAAAGGGCGGGAAATTCAAACCGTTGATGGCGAAGAGGCTGCTTCTTTCGCTCTTTCGCACCAACGGTTTGGAAAAGGGAGGCGATGGGAAAGCCCAACCAGAGCAAGCGAAGGGCAGCGCAGCAGCGGCGGGGAGAAGGTCTTGCTCTCCAGCCGGGAAAACCTATTAAGGAGAGACTCCCTAGCCATCGGTGGGAACCCACCCCTCCCCCCTGCTCAGCGCCCGATGGATTTCCCCCATCGCTGGGCCTCTTACATGCAGCCGGAAGCTGGACTGGCCGTTCCTTGCAAGCCGGGGCTATTTGCAGGCGAGTTCTCCCTGGCTTCCGTCATCGCTAAGGGGAAGCCGCCCATGGCCTCTTCAGCGCGGCGGTAACCAATGCCGGCCAGCCCTCGCCTGTGCTGATGACTTTAGGCATGCTGGGGTGTGCGTGGCCACCGCAGGAGGAGCAGCGGAGAAGCTGTAAAGCTGCCCGGTGGGGGGAAAAGCCCTGTTCGGCTCCCGCCTCTCTCCCGTTCTATTTCTTTTTCATTAGCTACAGTGAACAGAAGCATGGGGGAAAAGTAAACATTTTAATAGGTTGTAATTACTAGCACTATGCCTATTTCTTGAATTACACATACTTCCAGACACATTTCTCTTTGTCTGAAAATGCTTTTGCTTAACTTTAACGATCCCAAATTAGGTGTTTATGGATAGAGTGGGGTCTCTACTTAAGAACGTCCCTACTTAAGAACAATCCAACTTAAGAACAGCTCCATTTGCTAAATTTTGCTTCTACTTGAGAACAGAAATCCAAGATAAGAACAGGAAAAAAAACCTTTCCTGCTCTTTTTTTAACCTTAGGTCATCTTAGGTTAAAAAAAATTCTCCCCCTAGTGGTAGAGTACGTATTAACCAGCTTTGCATTAGTTCCTATGGGAACTAATGCTTCAATGTATGAACGCACCTCTACATAACAAAAAAACAGCCAGAACGGATTAATTGGTTTTCAGTCCATTCCTATGGGAAATTTTGCTTCAACTTAAGAACGTTTCAACTTAAGAACACCATTCCAAAACGGATTAAGTTCTTAAGTAGAGGTTCCACTGTAGTTTCTATGGACGGAAAAGAGCAGATACGGATTAAATGGTTTTCAATGCATTTCTATGGGAAATGCACATTCGACCTACGAACTTTTCGACCTGCAGACTGCCTTCCAATACGGATTAATTACTTAAGTCGAGATCCCACTGTACTTGCTACAACGGGATTTAGTGGTCTCCACCCCCAAACTTGCTCCCAGGCTTTGGAATGCAGTGATCTGTGAAGCTAAGTTTGAAATACTCACTGGAAAAGACAGTACAGTGGGGTCTCTACTTAAGAACGTCCCTACTTAAGAACAATCCAACTTAAGAACAGCTCCATTTGCTAAATTTTGCTTCTACTTGAGAACAGAAATCCAAGATAAGAACAGGAAAAAACACCTTTCCTGCTCTTTTTTTAACCTTAGGTCATCGTAGGTTAAAAAAAAAATTCTCCCCCTAGTGGTAGAGTACGTATTAACCAGCTTTGCATTAGTTCCTATGGGAACTAATGCTTCAATGTACGAACGCACCTCTACATAACAAAAAAACAGCCAGAACGGATTAATTGGTTTTCAGTCCATTCCTATGGGAAATTTTGCTTCAACTTAAGAATGTTTCAACTTAAGAACACCATTCCAAAACGGATTAAGTTCTTAAGTAGAGGTTCCACTGTAGTTTCTATGGACAGAAAAGAGCAGATACGGATTAAATGGTTTTCAATGCATTCCTATGGGAAATTCAGATTCAACATAAGAACTTTTCAACTTGAGAACCACCTTCCAATACGGATTAAGTTCTTAAGTAGAGACCTCACTGTAATGCTAGGAAAAGTTGAAATCAGAAGAGGAAGGATTACAGAGGACATCACAGCCTTAAATGTATTCTCGAAGGCTTTCACAACCAGGATCTGATGGTTGTTGTGGGTTTTTCGGGTTCTTTGGTCATGTTCTGAAGGTTGTTCTTCCTGATGTTTCACCAGTCTCTGTGGCCGGCATCTTCAGAGGAC